ATATATAAAGAAAAACAAGACATTATGAGAACTAATAATTTGTGGTGGATACATTTACTGTCAAACCTGCCATGACGGCCAGCCGTACAAACGGCTACTTTCCAATTCCCCCCTTGCGTTTTTTCAATACACATTAACTGTGTTAAACGATCACCTGTCCAACGCAGCCGCGACCACCTTTTCAACGCGGCCGTGACCACCTTATTTTATCAACTCATGGCCATATTTACCACCCCAAGACGGCCAGGCATGTCTTGCATCGCCCGATGCTCTGTCATAAATTTGTTATCGGCCCTTGACGCAGTGGATAGGCCATCATAATCCATTCACTTGTCGTTATGTTCTTGTTTGTTCCCCCAATGAATGTTTACCCAGGTTGACCCAATGGGTAACAATAAATTTTCAAGTGCTGATGAGAGAAGCATGTGATCTGTGATAACCTATAAAAGCCTCGCCTGCAACTCGTACACAAATCGTATCCGAGGTGACTGGTCACCTTTTTTGTTTACCTTTTATAGTAACAAAGTAACTATGGACATTAACGTGAACTTTCTGCAGAAGCGTTGGTTGTTCTCTGAGTGGTTGTGACCCACATGTTTGTTTTACCACGGCACTCGGTCTTCATTGTCTTACATTAATTAAATCCCCTTGCACAAAATCAGCATTTACTTACTTTATTCTTCCGCTTGTAGCGGTGGGTGTCGCGGGGAGACACAGACGTCTGTCTGAAGCAAGGTGAGTGGCCTGTAGGAGGGACATCCCGTGAGCTCTGAGGGTGTCTGCTACAGATTCACTCCAGCATCGCCTTTATTCTTTTTCGTTGTCCGTTTTCCTCGCTAGGTCGTTTTCCATTTTGATCGGTCCGTTTGTGTCTCCTTTTATTTTCTTGAGCAATAATAATATCCACTGTCGGCCTGCTAAGCCAGTCGCAGTTTCACCTGAGCCCCGTTAGCCAGCAACATTTCAGGGTGACCCGGGTCGGCCTTCACGGCTAGCGTAACGCCTCAGTGACTTAAGTCACACTGTACTTCACCCAAACCCAGCTATCCCCTACTTTGTTGAACTGTTTCCTTCTCCCACGATGTGGACGAGAGGTACAAAATAAACAGCAAAGAAAAAACTAACCCCCCTAAAAAAAAACTAATCATCAGAACAACAACAAAAAGAACCCTTCTTTCCACCCCTCCACCCCCCTTTTTCAAAAGAAAACAAAAACCCATTTGAATTCACCTTTTTACGGCATTCCAGCCCCGGTTTCAACCTCAGAGGGGAATGGTTTGCTTTCTTTATTTAGATCAGTTCTGCCTAAAACGGCCACCTGTGTTATATATGGCTATTTTTCTCCTTGACAATGGGTGGCCGTGTTACACCGGTCCGACTGAACATAAATATAGTCGAAATTCGCATGAATTTTTTTTTTAATGAAAAGGGAAAGTGCTATTACAATACCTGAGTAGAGCATGCAGCGGAAGTGAAAGTAAAAATGATACTGTTACTGATACTGACGTACAGCAGTCTCCGCCTAAGATCCCGGTGCTCAGGAGCAAGGAAAATGTTGGATCTTAGCCGACCAACCCAGGGAAGAATCTACGGTGACCCATGTTAAGGCTCACAACCGGTAACATGGTCTCCCTCCACTCTAAAATGAACAGATGTGACCCCTGGGTGGGTTTATGAAATATATAGCGAACAAAGAGTGGTCAACCTTGATGACCAATCACAGTGACATGAGGCATGCCACTCACAGTGGCATGAGGCATGCCACGTACACTTAATCCTATAGAAGTGAATCTCAAGATCTATGCTATTCCAGTTGCCCCTCCCCTTTACCTGCCCAAAATTTATAGCGTTCCAGCTCTGACCGAGTTCCCCCGCCTTTGACATTACGCACCATTACGTTGTAATACAGTGGAGTCCACTTCTAACGAGTCCTGAAATAACAAGAAGTCTGTTGTTAAGACACTATTCTAAAACCCGTTTTTTCCCTTCTTTATCTTAGTAAATAAAATACTGCTATAGCACAATCAGACAAACACGCAAATCGGTTATAGCGGAATATTGCTGCTGCTGTGCACAGCGCATAGAGGCCAATTATACATAATGTAAAATTTCGTCAGTTGAGAAACTTGTTGGTGATCTAGCAAAACAAAATATGGGAGAGCCCATATGTGTCAACAATGAAGGCTGCAGTGAATGAGGGAGAAGGGTATGGCATGTACAGACAAGCAGAACACATTGCGTGATAGGCCAACCTTGTCTAGATTGTCTAGGCCTACCATACCTCTCACTTCTCTGATATGGAGAGATCACAGTGCTGTGATGGATGGAATGAGAATGTGACGTGGGCAGGGTTTGGTGTGTACCCAATGTGTGCAAGCAGACAGAAAGCACCACAGGGTGTGGTAGGGTGGGGGACAACACAGCGGGCAAGTTAGCCTAGAACCCTTTCCTTCTGGTCGCAAACGCCGAGCTGTCAACATCGCTAGCACTAGAGAAAGAAACTTGATTCGATTTTTGATCAAGTAAGACCTAGAGGTCACGTTGAACAAAATCATCATCAGGGGAGATAATAAAAAGGTACAAACAGAACACCGAACTCGTAGATTAGGCCTACATCATCATTTCCCTTGAGTTTATGACTGGATCCCTTATAACGAGAATCCTGCTAAAACGGACATTTCGCACAGGATTCCACTGTAACACCAATTCAAATTTTTTCTGTTTCGCAAATTCAGGAATATCTAGAGAAAACTGCTGCAATAATCAGGGAAGAGCTCACAGATCGATGTGATCCCACCTGGAGCAAAAATGTAGGCCCTACCCACCCTGCGAGTGATGTAATTTTAGGCAGAGAGCTCAGACGCGAGTTTGATGTTTCGGGAAAACAAACGCGTCGGTCAGTTCACACTTCGGAGTGATCCCGTCTGGGGCAAACATTGTACCATTTCATAGAGTGTTACAACGCTTATGTGATCACATTCACGAGAGTCGCTGATCTTTGAAGCAACTGGCAGTTCATCAATGTCAACTTTTCACTCTTGGCTGTGCCCGACCACGTTTTTGTTCAGTAAATTATGATCTGAAATGCGGGATCTTAGCCGACTGTAGACCTTCAGAGTGAGTGAGAGCGGGATCTTTGTGGTGACTTTTGTATAGTAAAAATTCTGTTTTCTTTAAACAGCGGGATCTTAAATAAGCAAATTGGGATTGTAAGCCGTGGGATCTTAGGCGGAGACTTCTGTATTTATATTTTTTAGGGAGTGCTTATTTAGGCCACATATGGCCTAAATAAGGTAAGGGAGGGGGGTTTAGCTTATAAGGCCACACATGCTCAAACTACCCTTTTCAGGCAACTGAGTTCGTTCCACTTTCATAATGGTGCACCTTTCTCATTTAGTACGGTTTTGTCTCAGTGTACAACTTATAAATCATAACCATAATGAATATTGTAAAGAACAAAGCACAATACGCAAAATTTTGCTCAATCCCAATGGTTTGAATGAGGGCCAGATTTTTCCTTCATGGAGGGGCAAAAGCTAGGCTACCATTTTGGCACACTTTGGTCAAGTGAAAAAGTCAAATCCTCCGAATGGACTTCCGGGTTAAATTTGGGGTATAAAAAGAGTGTACACTACGTGGCTGAGTCAAAGTTACACTATCTTTGCTTGAGTGACACTCTCTCGTACTGTCTCGTAGTAGTACATGTAGGGTAGTAGGCCTAGCAGTAGTAGTAGCAAAGATCGTGTAGAGAATATTTGGTAGTAGATTCTATCTAGTAGGCAGTTTAGTGAAAGTGCTCAGGGCGAATCGGCCTCGATAAGCCCCGTAGACTTTTGTGATCGGCCACGAAGCCTCGTGTTTTGATGGGTCTAGATCTAAACAACTCAGTGTTATTCGCACTGCCACATCCGACAGGCCTAGATCTACATCTTTTTAAAAGGAAAAGAAAGATCATCAAAATGGTTGAATTCGGTAGAACTAGAACTATTAAAATTTGCTTCTGAAAACAAGGCAATTTTTATACAAAGGCCATTTTTATAACTCGATGAAATAAAAACTACTGGTTGTGTACTGTGTTATTCTGTATAAAAATAAATTATGAAACTTCAGGACGTATTATTATTTACCAGCATCTTTTGATGCCTGAGCTGTAGAGGTTGAAGTTATCACAACACTAATAGATCTAGTAAGAGGGTTAGGTAATAGGGCTTTCCGTAAAAAATGCATAGATCTACAAAAGCCGAACCACCGAATCGACCGGGCACCTCGCTCTCCCCTGCACACTGTGATAATGTGTTGCTGCGGTATCGCATTATTCAACTATTAATACGTGCGACTATGGCAATTGGGATGTACTGACTGAAAAAAATTCAGTTTTGTTTTTATTTTACCATATATTTGACTTTAATAGTGCAGGCGATAGCAAGATCTAGATTCCCTGTCTAGAATCAGTAGTAGCAGACCTATGCTAGAAGCAGCCAGAGAGCCTACAACTGCTAGATCTAGATCTAACTTATTATTGCTATGCCTTTGGGCTTTGGAATTGAAATAAAACGAATTGCACAGTTCTAGTTACTTTTAGATTCAGCAAGTAACTGTATTTCCAGAGTCAATAATAACAAATCTCAGCATAACAATCACTTTTACTTGTATTAGAATAATTAGATCCAACTTTTTTTTCTAAAATCTGTTTTGCGCAAACTTAATATTTTCACTACTTGTAGAGCACAGAATTTACATTGTAAGCATCTGCTCAGTCTTTTAGTATACATAATAAAATACACACACACAAGCACACACACACACACACACACACACACACACACACACACATATATATATATATATAGAGAGAGAGAGAGAGAGAGAGATCTATATAATCATTTTATGTTGATTTCGGGATATTTTTAAAACTCTTTTTTTCAACATGTCATAAAATCAAATTGTGCCATTTTCTTTGAAAAGAATAGCATTAGCAGTGGACTTTTTAGACAGCGAGTCTCTGATTCAATATTTTTTTTTTTAAATATGCTAATCAATGAAAATTGCAAATTGATAATAGTTTAGTCCTGTAGAGGATAGGTGGACTCTGGGGTCTGCAGAGGGAAATACTAGGTTTTAGGATGTGAACCCCGGAGTCACCATAGTGAAATAAGGTTTGGTTTAAGTTTAAGTAAGGATTGGTGGACCCCAGGGTCAACGTAGTGATAAATAATCAGGTTTAAGGTGGACCCCGAGGTCTACCTAGCGAAATACTAGGTTTTAGGACAGGTGGACCCCGGGGTCACCGTAGTGAAACAAGTAGGTTTCTTTAAAGATTGGTGGACCCCGGGGTCAGCGTAGTGAAATAAGTAAGGTTAATTTTAAAAGGATTGGTGGACCCCGGAGTCACCATAGCTGTAGAGGAATAAGAAGGTTTAATTAAGGATTGGTGGACCCCCGGTACACCTTGATTAAACCTACTTATTTTACTACGGTGACCGCAGGTTCCACCTATTCTAAATACCTAACTAGTATTTCGTTAGGTAGACCCTGGGGTCCACCTTAAACCTACCTATTTCACTACGTTGACTCCAGGGTCCACCAATCCGTTAAAATTAAACCTAGATCTACATGTATTTATTTCACTACATTGACCCCAGGGTCCACCAATCCTTAATTAAACCTAGATCTACTGATTTCACTACGTTGACCCCGGGGTCCACCAATCCTTAATTAAACCAATATCTACTTATAATTTTGCTACGTTGACCACGGGCTCCACCAGTCCTACTATAAAATAAACTGAGATCTACTTATTTCACTATGTTGACCCCGGGGTCCATCAATCCTTAGTTAAACCTAGATCTACTACTTATTTCACTATGCTGACTCCGGGGTTCACATCCTAAAACCTAGCATTTTGTTAGGTAGACCCCGGGGTCCACCTATCCTTTTGGCTAGATAGACCCCGTAGTCCGCCTATCCACTTCCTTTATAATAACTGAAAACAATACATGCCAGTTGTAATGAATAGTGAAGAAAAATGCGGGGAAAAAAAGACAATGAGGTAGACTATAATTTGTCCAAAAAATTGCAAGTGCAAGTGAAGATCATAAAATAATTTTGTTATTTTCTGGTCATCTTTCCCGGTTTATAAAAAAATTCCAGTGGGCCTACTACTAGATCTATGTATCTGAAGAACATTTTGCTTGCCTTTATTAGCTTTTTTTCAGGTACATGAAAGCATAGAATATATATAGTTTCACACATATATATATGCACAATACTTTGAAAAAGAAAGATAAGGTCATTCTTGTTTTGTTTTTTTACGGAATCCGTTTTACGTTGAGAAAAGCGGTAAAAACAAGTTAAAAATTTTTAAGAATGCCCATAATATTAGTATTAGGAATCCGAAATTACTACCTAGTTGGCTTACTCTTTAATAACCATGAGCAGTTAAGAAAAAAAAAGACAATGATATAGGATTTGTCTAAATATGACCATTAGCAATAAAGATGTTGCCCATTTTGTCCAATTATCCTTGTAGGTAAAATCACCCTGCACTGTACCTCAATAAGCACAAAAGGAATATTTCTGTGACTTTGTATAAAGGTGTGGCCTAAATAAGGTAAGGGAGGGGGGTTTAGCTTATTTAGGCCACAGGTGTGGCCTAAATAAGGTAAGGGAGGGGGGTTTAGCTTATTTAGGCCACAGGTGAGGCCTAAATAAGGTAAGGGAGGGGGGTTTAGCTTATTTAGGCCACCTGTGGCCTAAATAAGGTAAGGGAGGGGGTTTAGCTTATTTAGGCCATATGTGGCCTAAATAAGGTCACCCTATCCCATTTTTTATTGACTCTGATGAATTTAGAGCATGGCATGGCTTTGACTGATCACTGCATGGTTGCTGTGGCAATGTCAGACTGAATTTCAACTGCTCAGCATTTAAAGACTTTGTCTTGTCACTTTTCAAAATGGCCTGTATGGCGGAGTCTTACGCGACAATTTAATTAAATTATTATTAGTAGGCCCAAGTGAGTAAAAGTCTAACTTGGTTATAGATCGCTAAATTACATTCAGTTGCACAAATTAGATAAATATTACTCATGATATCATCAAGTTTTAAGGACTTAACCATGTCAGATAGGATGGTCAATTTTGGGTACACGTATCTCCTTCAACTAATATAATATGTCCTACATCAAGGCTTACAATAAAATATTAACTGGAATTTATTGCTCATTATCCTATTACAGTAGAGTCATTTAAATCAAATCTGCAGGGCTGCCGGATTTGCTTCAGTTTTGCCGAGTTTTCATTTTAAAGGCTCAATAAGATTTTATTTAATCAGGGATTTTATTGTATTATTTTTATGGGGGTTTGCAGCTGTTTTGTCGATTTCCAACTTTTTTATGCAGCCACTCAATTTCTAATAGTAATAGAAAGTAATGATGATTTTGTTTTGCAATTTTGGAATTATAATAATGTTCGAAGGCTTCTTGATTAAATTTTGAGGCTCGTATGATCCATGCTTTAAAGTTTATGCCTGTGAGCAGCGTTTCTTGACTTGACAGTATAACGTCTTACTCTGCTGAGTGTTTTGTCTTGCAAAAACCAGTGAACTGGCTGATAGGCAAGATGACACTGCTGTTTATCTGTAGAGGGAATCATAATTTTTTTGAATAGTACTGTCTTGAAGAGGAAAAAAATGGCTGCTAAAATGGCCGTCTGATAGGGACACATAGTTAATGTTATATATATATGACTTCGCCAGTCCATTAAACGATGTTCCACTATGTTTTTATTCTACCTGATGGTCTGCCACTGGACAAGTCAAACAACTTTTAAGGTAAGGTCAAGGGTTTGGGGTAAAGTTAGCATTTGGGTCCTAATTGCCACCTTTTATTGACACAGCACAGGTTGACAGCAGTTATTCAAGCATCCCTCACAGTGAAACAGATTATTATGGTGGACTGTCAAGTGGACAAGCACCAATAACATTATGGCTGAGGTTTAGTGCCTTGAAAGTGGCAGAGATTTCACTATCGCCAGGTGTTAACACTGTAGTCTGGCTAAAATTTGCGTGAAAACAGGACACTTTACATAATGAATTTAAACAGATCAGATCTGTAGTAAAGTATGTGTGGGCATGGATGACTCAAACACATCAGGAATTGACAAATATATATTTTTGACAACCTTTTTTCGGGTTAACCGATACAAAAATTAATGAGATATCAGTCGTGGAAAGGCAAACTGCTCGAGCTATCCATGATTTCGAGTTTTCTGTGTTTGTGTTATATCTGTGGCTGATGTTCTGAGTTTTTGTTCCTTATAGCCCCATGTAATCGGTGACCGTCTTTCTTTGTTTACCATCAGGCCTACAAACTGAAATGGATGAGATTTCTCCAGAGGGAGAGATTATCAAAGGCAACAGAGATGTACAAGATCTAGATCCTTTGAAGCAAGAGGATGCTTTTTCAAAGAAGAAAAAGAAACGGAAGCCCCTTAAGGAACAGCTAAAAGATCCTATCTACAAAAAGAAGCTTATAAATTCTTTGTGTATTTCCCTTGTTTTTCTTACTTTGGTGAGTATGTCTTGCTTTGCTAAAATTCTTACTGTTGCAGTGGTAATAAGATCTAAAAATCAAGTATCTTAAGTATCTTAGGGTATTGGATGTGAAATAAATACAGTCGAACCTGTCCTAGATTTAGTTTCAAGGGAGCCATCGAAATGTGTCTTAGACATTTTTCATCTTGGACAGAGGAATTGAGTGGGAAGATGAGTGTTCCCAGAAGGCCAGCGATACATGGTGGGATCAAGGTCCAAAGGCTGATTCTGTTTCTACCTAGGCCTGACCATGAGGTTAAGAAAATAGGCCTACATACTGTATGAAATCACAGACTGTATATATATATATATATATATATATATATATATATATATATATATATATATATATATATATATATATATATATATATGAATTTGAAAGAATATAATGTTATGTTTATTAAAAAAGGTGGGATCCAGATTTTTGTTCAAATAATTCATATAATATATCCTTTCAAGTTTAGCATGCTTTGCTGCATTATCTTGTAGTTTCCACAGTCTTTTTGCTTTTGTTTTTCACAGGGCATGTGTATTGGTATGCATGGCCCAACTTTTTTAGACCTTCAGATCATCACCAACACAGATGTAGAGAGAGGGGCTGCATTTTTTACTGCTGGATCTATTGGTTACTTCATCGGATCCGTGGCCACTGGAGCTGTATATAACTATGTAAGAATAAACCTCCCTTGTTTCTTTTTTTTGAATGATGTGTACCTTGTTCCCTCCTCATATTTGCTACCTTATGCCTCATGAATTCATAAACGTCTGAGGATATTTCTCCTCCCCAAGTTCTTCTTAGATGCCACCAAAATACAATTACTGTACTTTAAACCATGGGAGAAAGGGCAAATAGCTCTTTAAGAGGTTATGTTGCAAGGATTGGTTTGATGACAAAGGCCTATATTTATAAGGCTGAAAGGAAGGTGGCGTGGAAGGTTTTAGTCAGACACATTTATTACTAGAGGCCAAGTACTGTTATTTAGCTCGTTCTTTACCTTTTCATCCCTTAATACACGTGTTCCTCTGGTGAAGTATAGATGAGTGGATTTTTCATAGAAGGAGTAGAATTAACAAGTGTAAAGGACTTTGCTTTATTTTGATGAGACGATGCCAAAGAGAATGCTGAGAAAACGTAAATACTCTCAGTATCCAACCTTTTTTCCCATCATAGTCAGCACAAAAAGGGCTTTATTTTATAAAATCATGAACTTGTTTTCGTTTTTCTCGTTGATTAATCATAGTTTGTAGTTTTCAGGTCCAACTGAATTTATTTTTTTTTCGACATGTATCCCTATTTTATCCTAATCCTAATGACTCTGTCCAATATTTTTGTTGTTGCTGTGTTTTTTAGGTGATTACTTTACATGCCTTTACATTAATGACATGTGCTGGCTCCATTGCCACTGCAGTTAAAAGTTAAAAATAGCAGAAGTGACAAGTATTTGACTTCTTTGTCTTTGCGAATAGTGCTTTGGAGATCTTCAGTTGACTTCATTCTCTTTTTTTTTTTCAGGTGAGCCAGAGTTTATTACTCTTCATAGGATCAACATTTCTAGGGGTGGTCTGCTGTATAACTCCATACTGCTCCCCATACGCTTTGATGATTTTTATCCGTGGTGCTGGGGGTGTGGCTTGTGGCTTTGTGGACACAAGTGAGTTGTTTCTACAAGTGGCCTGGTGCCTGAATTTTTCTTCTCCATTTTTATTTTTGCTGTTTTATGTGTAATCTCAGGGGTGGGTATGGTTTACTTCTTATTCTCTGTATGTTGTAATAATTATGTTCTCAAATGCTCTTTGAAAAGGTTTTCTTGGCCCTCACAAGAACTAGGGTTTTAGTGTTGATATTCCCTAGGTATCCTTGTCTGCTTTATAAAGTTTTGACATTATATTTTTAAAATGGGGTCTAACAGGGTCTCTCAATGTAATTTTATTTTGATCAATTATTTCAAATTCTGAAATCCAGCCTGCATGTATATTTCTCCACTTGATACCGACAGAAGAAAATGGAACACAGCGGACTGGGCCTTAAGAAATAAAATGTATAAAGTTTTGATTAAGTACCAATGCTTTGTACATAACGTGAAAAATTAATGTTTGAGTATTTCTCATGAAAAACGAGAATGGGACGTCAAGTTTTCTTTCATTAGCAAACTATAGTCATTATAGGTTGATCTGCTTGTAGAAAATAGAGACAATGCTTTGAATTTTGAGTTAACTTTTTTTTCCCCTTCTGTTATTATTTCTAATATTTGTGAGGCATCATGGTGAAATCAGGCGCTCGTCAAAATAACGAAATCGGAGAATCAGGCGTATTTCCATCAGTTAAGCAATTTTATCAAATTTTAGCTTTTTGGCTCAACCCATTTTGTATGTCCATATAAAAACATATTTCTGTGTTAGGTTTATTGAAAAACATCTATTAAGGTAAATGCAAAAAAATATGTCATTTTTCAGTTTTTAAGTACTCTTTAGCTATTGGAGTTACCAAACTTTGGCGGCCATTTTCTCGCTTATTTCACCAATGAAACCAGTCGACCTCACCTTCTTCAATCGCAAATATCTTGACTGTTATTCATGATAAATGGATGTTTTTTTTATTGAAAGCAGGGCAAATGAATAAGCTTTCAGATGATACCAATTACTCCACATGCCTAAAAATTGACGAGTGCCTGATTCCACCACGTTGTGACACATTTGTTAGTTTGGCTGAAGGAGGACTGCCCACCTTTGGGAATTTGGCAAAATTGTTACAATTTTTTTTCTTCAATTTTACAAAACTATTGATTGCAATACCCCCAATTCCAATTTCTGAGAATTCCATTGTTATTTGACTACCTATCTTTTAAAGGAGAAAAACAATTAGACACCAATAGTCTTTGTCACTTCATCAAATGCAGCTGTCTAACTTTTGAACACCTTCTGTATATTGAGCCCTTGTTGCTGCTCAGCATCACTTAGCCCTTATAAAAATGTTAGTTGTGCCAAATCCAGGAGTTAAGCAGGCATTAGGTTTACAAGATGTAAAGAAATTAATTCCTTCGTTTTTGCATTAAGTTAACATTGTAAGCAAATAAGAGACTTAAGCTTGTAACATATTATGTCATTCCAAAGGTTTCTTTTGTTTTTCCGAGCAATAACTACCCCTTCCCCCACTTTTTTTTTTCTTAACGCAATAATGATGAGTCCCAATAGATGAAGTCCCTGTTTACACTACATTTATCCTTTTATCCTTGAACTTCTAACCCTGTCTTTGACAACTCAGGGAAAAGGACTATCTACAGTGGGCTCCCCTCAAACGCACGTTTTCGTCATCTGACGGGTTTTTACTATACAATTTAGAAGTACAAACAAAGGCGCACCGGCAGTGGAATTTTAGTTGCCGCGGGGGGTTCCCCGCTGGGCGCCTTATCACGTCGGGGTCACGGGGGTCAGCTCCCTGTCGCCGCTCTGTCTGGGCCGACCTAATTTTTGGTACTTTTCAACGTACAATTTAAGGTGTATCCTTGTATTTATGGTAATTCTCATTTAGTGCATCAAAAGCACGCATTTCTGCTCTTGAGACTTAAAAAAGAACGGACGTTGTAACTTGTCTGGTTATTTCGTTAGACGCGCTGGAGTCGGCAATGCTAAATTGTAATTTTTTTTTGGACTAGCGTGAATGAAAAAAAATCAATATAAAAAAAAGGCATCGTCAAAATCTGTCGAACTTTTGGAATATGAACGACATAACATTGGTGCAGATACTCAGAAAAGATGGTATCTGCGCTTATAATAGAAGGCTGTAATTTTACAATTTTATCCATCAGGCTCACAATTCGCTATGAAGTAATTCCTCCAAATACAACTTTATGTATCTAATATAATCGTGAATATTCGCATATTTTCTCGAAAGTTTATAAAAGTTACCATGAAGTTTCTCTATGAAAAGTACAAATCGATTTTAGTGCTAGAATACATCTTCAACGTAGATCTAATACACGAACAGTATCCATTACACTCCAGAAATTCCTTATTTTCCTTAAAACGCTAAGTCCAGGTTTTGTAAGTTGACTGAATAATAGGGATGACTTCTCGTAATTGGGTTATAAGAATAATTTCTAGCTTTCCAGGGACACTGAATCAGCACCAGACTTTTCCAGCTTTTTTTTCGTTTCTATGACCATTTGCAATAACTTACAATGTGACTGATTTCTTTACATTCATAATTGTGTCCGCACATATTTTCTACACAAAAACTAAGAATGAATGTTTCAACTGTCATTATTTTTATTCCAAACAAGAAGTTTATCTCTACCCATATATTTACACGGTTTTGTGGGTTTTTTAATCGCTTATATTATATCTTTTTAGTTGTATGCAGGCTGCCACAGACACAGCATGATTCATGAACAAACGCAGAGTAACGTTCTTTTGTTTAATAGTAAAATAAGAGCTAACGCTGATCGTCTTTAGTTAAAAAATGCAGATGTGCATCTTTCTTCTCTTATAACTTGACTATTACTACTAGCGCAGATTTAAGATTTCTCATGGTAAAAGATATGATATTCTTAGTCAGTTTAACACAGATTTTGGAGAGATCTGTCGTGCCTTTTTAAAATTAACAATCATTTATTCATAAGTTTGTAACTAAAATAGGACAGATTTGGTACTCTACAAACACTTGTCTAGAGCAAAAACTAAGGCACAGAGACTAACCATTCTAACGCAGAATAAATCTCAAGACATTGAGCTTTTAGTACATCTGCGTAATGGTTTGCTATGTGGGATGGGGAAGAAGTTATATCGTTTTAAACATAGTCAAAAATGCGAACTTCCTGACCGACAGCGGCAAAGTCGCTTCAGGGCTCATTATCCCTGTGATCCCGAGCCGGGGAGCTCCGACGGGCTGCTGAGTCCTGCGAACTAAAAGTAACAGAATCGGGCGAAAAGTGACGCCGTGAAACGCATGTTCACTCACTCTAAACGCGCGTTCCAATACTCGAAACATGCCGGCGGGTAGAGCTTGATAAAGGGAAATGTTTGCTCCAATCTTCACAGCTTGCATAAGACAAGCCTAGACAACCAGATATTTGGTGAGACTGACCCTCACGTAGAACAAAGAGAGTGATGGACAGCGTTTTCACACCCAACTTTCCACTGACACATAGATTTAGGACAGGTCTGTGAAATGTTGGGGGGTTGGGGGGACTAAAATGTTATTTAATTGGTCACTGGAAATGCATCTTTGAGAGAAGGTTTCTGACTGGTGTTTGAGTGACTGCGTGTAATGTTTAGTTAGACCTATATAAGGGCTATGATGCGCAACACGCATGAATGCTGTAAAACACTAGATAAGCCTCTAGGATTAAAGATTTGTCAAGTAAGCCTAATCAGCTGGGCTCGAAAAACTTATAACGTAAAGAAATGTTTCTCTGAATGTAGAGTTTTATGATTCTGATGTCGTCCATGAATTTACGGTCGGGGGTGGTCGCTTGGAAAGCCACGTGGCTGGGTCGTCGTTTCTATGACTATCACCAACAGTTTCTCCTTAGGCTATCAGTTCCCGCCAATTACATTGAGTCTGTTTTTCTGCAACCCCCTTTCAACGCCTCTTAACCGCTGTCAGGGAATCCTTCACAAAACAGTCACGTGTCGTTACATTATCAACCAGTTGCCCCCACCCTCCAAGGGGCATCACTACAATATCAAGGAATTGAGACGACTGCGTCCATTCCTCAGGTTCATGTAAATGCACGCTCCGTTTAAACACACGCTAAGGAGGCCTCCCGAGCACCGTGCGTTTAGGCAGAGACTACTGTATTTTGGTATAACAAATTTTAAAGCCAGATTACTGGTACTAATGTTTTGTTAGTTGATGACTAAAACATGTGCTGGTGGGTGGGCAGCAGTGCTGGAGTGTGATACCTCGTGTCTGTACATAATTTTTTTTAACCGGCCCTCTGACTTTGACAAAGGTGTATGATTTATAAAGTAAAAAAATGTTTTGTGATTCACTGTGTGATCTTTGCTTGAGTTACTGTTGTTACTTCTGTGACACTTTTGAATAACATACTACCTGTGTACCTATTTTGGGAAAGTAACAAAGATTTTTGCCCTCTCTGCTCATGTTACTTTTCAGTTTTATAAATTACTTTCTCAGCTCTAACACTAGGCACTTGTTCCCCAAGAAATAATTCCATGAGCTGGTCCACACTTGTTCCATTCCCATCCTGCTTCTGTATGTGTGGCATCGTCATCCCATTAGGCTCTCATCAAAATTATGAAATATCAAAAGGACCAACATTTTTTTTCTGACTGTTGCACATGTTTGTTATTACAATTCCTTTTTTTTTTACTTGGAGTACCGCCTTCTGTGTCCATTTATTAAAATTTCTTTTTGGATTTTACCAGAAAAATATTGATCAATAGCTCTAAAAATGTAAATTAGCAGTTTCCAAAAACACTCAAGCTTTGGAAGTCACCAAACTTTGGTGGCAATTTTGTCACTAATTTTCCTCTGGCACCAGGTGATCCCTACATCCTTCAATTGCAAATATCTGGACTTTTATTCAGATCGATGGGTAAATTTACAAGATTTAAGATGATACCAATAACTCCATATGCCTAAAAACTGAAGAGAGCTTGAAAATGTTGTTTTGTGACACATTTGATGTGCAGGATAGTGCCTTTCAATTTGGCCATATTTTCTTAATTTATTCTGAAAAGATTCATATATATATATGCTGATGCCTCATGAGAGAGGAAAGTAAATGTATTCTGTTTTCCTTCACAGCTGGAAATGCAAATCATATGCAGATCTGGGGAAATGAAGGTCAAGTACTGATGCAACTACTCCATTTTTGCTTTGCCCTTGGAGGCACCATCTCTCCCTTGTATACAGAGCCCTTCCTCGCGCCCAAGGAAGACGAGGAAAATTCAAGTACAGTCAGTTTGAACATGATTACAGTTACAACTGTTGGTCCATTGAATGCTAGCTCCAGTGGATACGGCATTTTACCTCCGAGTAGGAACAGCTCACAGAACTTCAATTTGACATCACCTTCTGTGGGAACTGAGAGAACGACTCATGTTGCCTATGCTTTTCTCATAACAGGAATATTATGTGTTGCATCAGCCATACCATTTCTGGTAATTTATGTTAAAGAGAAACTGAAAGAAAAAAAGAAAGGGAAGACTGCTGAGGAGACTCTAACACAACGTGACCTACCTCGCCCGGTTCTAGTGTTTGTTCTAGTCACTGTGTGCGCTTTTTATTTAGTGTACTGTAGCGTAGAAGACACTTTTGCTTCTTTCCTCATGACATTTCTTGTAAAACAGTACGATTTTGTATCCAAATCCAAGGGAGCTTATATAACAGCGTTTTACTGGGCTTCTTTTGCTGTGTCCAGATTTTTAATGATATTTTTGTCAAAAATACTAAGTCCTGTGAAATTGCTAACACTTTGCTGTAGTCTCATGGTTGTGTCATTTGCTGGATTTTATATCAGTGCTACGTTTAGTGCCATCAAGGCTCTCACTTTTTTTGCAGTGCTGGCAGGATTTAGCATGTCAGCTGTCTTCCCATCAGGCTTTTCGTGGACAGAGCAAGAACTGTTGAGAGTGACCGGTCGTGTTTCTTCCTGCATTTTACTCTCTGCTTGTTTGGGCACTATGGCTAACCCCATGTTATTGGCTTATCTCATGGAAGAATTTTCCAATATGTGGTTCTGTTACCTTTTAGTAAATCAGACTGTCCTGTTGTGCGTTCTGTTTATATTTTTGCTGATTTTCAATAGGTGCTACCTGAATGTAAGGTATGGAAAACTACAAATGACACCAGATATCACTATTGATGTGGAGCTTGAAATAAATCAACCGTTAAGTTCTGAGAACTTGGGCAAAGTACAAAATTGTGTTGACCCATTGGATGAAAAGATCCGTTAATGTTTTGTGATACTTATGAGTCTTTCTTTTTTTGTTTTGTTGGGGAAATAAGAGTACTGTCGGTGAAATTGTTTTAATGCTGTCAACTGCAGTATTAATATTTATGTTTCAAAATCTTTAATTTATGCAAGCTTTGTGCCATATTTTAGTGGCATTTCATAATGTTAGACGAAGTTTAACATATTGTCAATTGCATTTAGCTCTAGTTCATTTTTTGTCTTTTAAAGATTTAAACATTTTCATTTTTTAGATTGTGTGAGGGTCTGTGGAATAGTCCAAACGTAATAAACTTTCTGCAGATATCTTTTTGATAACATCTTCATGCTACTTGGAATGAGTTTGCTGCAAATATTTTTTAAAGAATATACAAAGACACTACTGTGATTTGTTTTGCCAAAAAATCCATGATTTTCATATTCACATAATGTAACAGACGAGGTATCTGTGATAGCCCTTTTTATCTTTCGGTTCAGTTTTATGACTCGTAAACCTGAGCCCCCTAAATGCAAAGGGCCTTACTCTGTTTAGCACTCAGGATGAGAAAAATGAAGAACAAGAAAAGTGCATTGCATTTTTTCTTTTTCAAAGAGTTTTAAACATTTTTTTAAAAACAACTAGTCGCTACTTTTCTTATTCCTACTTCAAAGTACCATTTGGCAGTGTGACTTAGTATGATGTGTATGTAATACAGTAGTCTCCGCCTAAAAGCACGCTCCGCTCAAATGCATGCTTTCATCGTCTGACAGGTTTTTTTACTATATAATTTAGACTACAAACGCACAGTCACTTCCTCTAAACGCACGCTCCCATCCGTGAAACACGCCGACAGGTAAAGCTTGAAAACGGGGAATTTCCACTACAGCTACAACCTGCACAGCTTGCATTAGACAAGCATAGAAAACCGGATATTTGGTGAGACTGCCCCTCTCGCCGAACAAAGAGAGCGATGGACAGCATTTTCACACCCAACTTTCCACAGACACAAAGGTCTAGATCTCGGTCTAGGGCTGGTCGGTGAAATGTTGGTGAGGAGGGGACTGAATTGTTTTTTGATTGGTCACTGGGAATGCATCGTTGAGAAAAGGTTTCTGACTGGTGTTTGGGTGACTGCATGTAATGTTTAGTTAGACCTAGGCCTGATGCGCAACGCGCGTGAATGCTGTAAAACATTAGACAGGCCTCTAGATCCCAAGTAACCCTTATCGGCTGCGCTCGAAGAACTTATATTCTTATAACGTACTTGTTCAATGAATCACAAGAGAAATGTTTCTCTGAATGTAGAGATCTATGATTCTGATGTCGTCCATGAATTTGCGGTCGGAGTGGTTGCTTAGAAAGCCACGTGGCTGAGCCGTAGTCTCTATGATTATCTCTATCTCCAACAGTTTACTCTTACAATGCTATCTGTTCCCGACATTTTATAGTTCATATTCATTACATTGAGTCTGTCTTTCTCTCCCCCCCCCCCCAACGCCTTTGTATTCTTAACCGCTGTCGGGGAATCCTTCACAAAACAGTCACATTATCGGCCAAAGTGACCTCCACCCCAAAGGGAGGTCACTAGAATATCAAGGCAATAAAATGATTGCGTCCCTTTCTCCCTTTGCAAAGGTACATGTAAACGCTCGCTCCGTCTAGACACACGCTAATGAGTCCTCCCGAGCACCGTGAGTTTAGGCAGAGACTACTGTAGCTGAATAAGGAAATTTAAGACTCATTACACGATTTTATATCCACCTCCAATGGGACGAAGCATTGAAGAATCTAACAGGCCATGTTCATGGACTTGTCTTTAGGGATTCAAATAGGGGTTCCAGGGCACTGGACTTGAGCATGAGACTAGCTGAACCTGCAGAGTGGCCCCCTTTGATATTGACAGATCCCTTGCTTAGAAAGTCACAGTGTTATAGGCTACATAATTGTAACAGGAAAAATTATAGGAGTAGAAAAATAGCACTAAAGACAACCCAGCTTTTTGAAGTTCCTTTTCATTTTTATTATGTTTCTGTATGATTTTTTTTGTGTGGAATTACTTAATTTTAAAATTATAAGTGTTGCTACTTCAGAATCCCATGGTGGAATATTGTTGATCTGGAATTCAGGTATGTTAAATTACAAGCCCATTTTATTTCATTGTTCTGCTAATTGTGATCGGCTGCTGGATCTCTGTCTGTGTCCTGTTCATGAAAACACTTTAGAAACTAAAGTAGTGGACACTGGTAACGAATATATACCCTTTTTGTTTGTGCACTCTGTTCTAATCTACACCATAAATGAGGTTGAATTCCATTTCTGTTTCTGTATCTGAATGTTCATTGAGTTACTCTTTCCCATGTGCGGTGGATCCTTCTTATTTTTTTGGCATCTATTAGTTGTTCAGCAATTCTTGTATGGTTTTCAAATTTCACATTTTGCTTTATTCTATTGCCACTTTATGTTTTCAAGATATAAATATAATAATGTACAGGGTGATCCCAAAAAAAATTTACAACTTTTTTTCTAAATATCTCACGCAAATGTTGTTCTAGAAAGATGAAACTTGGAACAGATAAACTTCATTCAAAAGGAATTTGTTTGACATAAAATTCATACAGAAGAAACTTATTTTGGGAACGGAAAAAGCATAAAGAAAAAAAAACACCCATAAATGTAAAATGCGCCAATTTAATAATTTTAAAAAAGGCACTCTTGCAAGGAAAGTCATGAGACAATTTATTTGATTTTCGTCTTCTTTTTCTCTATAACATTTAATTGTTCCAACCTTGTGACATTAAACAATATTTAATTTCTCTTAGGGAGTTAAAGAACTAACATTTTTGTTCTGGAATTTCTAAAACAATTGCTCCACATGTCCTCCTTTGGACTCCAAACATCTTTTAACGCGTCGTTTGAAATGCTCGATGACCGTCAAACACAGTTCCCGCAGACTGTTTCTCACTTCATCACCGATTGCTTGTTTCATAATTTCAATGTTTTCAAACTGGTTTTGAAATATCTTGTCCTTCAGATAGCTCCACAAGAGAAAGTCAGTTCAGGAGAATGCGGAGCTCAAATGTGTTCACTTCTGCGACTGATCACATGATCTCCAAAGTGGTCAGCTAGCCATGTCATTGATCTGACAGAAACATGTGGATTGACCCCATCTTGCATGAACCACTGGTCTTGGCGATCCAAGTGCCGGTGTCTCCCCAGATCCGTCCAGAATTTCATCAGCACCTCGATATATATATCGGTCTGTGTTCACAGTTGCAACATGTCAGTCCGCGTCTTCAAAAAAAAAAGGACCCTCCAAACCATGAGTGCTGAAAGCCAGCCGCACTGTATCCGTATGGAGTGGCTTCTGGAGAGGGTAGGGAGGTGGGTGGAATGCCCAATTGCCAATAGAGAGCATCTTTGGAGTTTACATATCCTGAAAGTTGAAAATGCGCTTCGTCACTGAACTAGATGTCATCTAAGAAACTCTCGCCTTCTCCAAGGCGGTCGAGGAACCACGGACACATTGCCATCTTCTGTCCTCGGTCAGTCTCGCGAAGCATTTGCCTAACATGAATATATGGTATGGGCGTAAGTTAAGATCTACTTTTAGAATACGGACTGTCGATATGTATGAAAGTCCTAGTTGCAGGCATCGTCTGCGGACAGATGTCTCATTAGATTCAGCGACTGAGTTCTGCACCCTGACGATGTTTAGAGGGGTTTGAATGGTGCGCGTTCAACCTGAAGCGGTCGCTTTTTCTGGAGATTTTTTGTTTTGATTTTTTATACACCCAAACTGGCGGAACTTTTTTTACCCATAACATCAAAGAAGGTCTTCATGGCCCTTTAGCATTCTTCCCATGCCTTGAGCGGAACTTACGAAATATCAGGGATGGTGATTTTGTGGAGAGGTCATGTTCAGACAGCCACAAAAAACAACTGTGTCACGGCTATTTTTGTGTTTGTTAAAATACATGAACGATGTTTTTAGTTTTGTTTTAGGCTTAAGCGGCAAAGAAAGTGAAAGTAGAGTAAATCTAGAAAAACAAGGCAATCGGATTGATTTTAGTGCCTTGAAAACTTCGAAGAAAAACTAGATCTAGACCATAGATTTACTATAAATTTACTATGGGTAAATCAAGTGCAGATAAGTCTCAATCAGATGAAGAATATATGTTTTCTCTGCACTTTCCTTCATCTTCCTCTCTAATAATATTGAAAGAACATTTTAAGTAAAATCTAAGCGAAATTTCATATCCCTTAAATAGTTTGGGCACAATGCGTGTCTAAAATTAGTGTGTCGAGTTCAGACCGATTTTTCCCTCCGGCTCGCGGCAAGCCAGGTGGACACTAGTGCACTGCTGCGGCAAAGCAGGGTGAATTGGGTTGAGTCCAAATTTTGAGAATTAAAAATTTTTTGGCACCCTGCCAAAACTCTATCAAAGATCAACTTTCAGCAATACCAAAAAGCAGTTTAATGTTATGGTCAAAGCTTACAATTTTCTTGCTTTTCATGATTCCTGATGGTAACATCACAACAAAAACTAGTTTTTGGTCTGTAAAAATAATAAAAAGTATACAAACAGACTAAAGTGGAGTGAATTGCTTGTGACACCAACAGTATGTCGCACTGTTCTTAATTTACTTTAGATAGCCCAAATACTGTAGTACAAATGTATATACCTTGGTAATGGAAAAGCTTCAGCCTGACTGACCACAGGTATGCTATTTTTTACAGTGAATTGTTATAGATAGATGTAAATTTTTGCTATGACAGTGACTGAAGTCCTTTTTCATTTGTGTCTTTTAGGTTACTGGTATTTGTGATATATTGATCATTTGAAGTATTAGTATTAGATCTAGTAGTATTTTTGTTTTGTTTTTAACTTACATTAAGATGTTTTTACAATTCTGACAGATCTGTCTCCTCTTTCTGCTTTTGCAGAGATATTTCTTCCATTCTCTAGTATAAGTATATTATAAGTCAATGAGAGAGGCGCCAGTATTTTTTTTTCTATCCTTTTGATGTTTTCAAGTTGTTTGCTTTTAAATGAATTTCACCTTTTGCTTTTTACAGATGTGTAAAGAACTATAAAATGTAATTGTATGTTATTGATATAGAGCACATGTAGGCCTACTGAACTGCTTTTTAAGAAAAGAACTGGATTTTATGAATTATGAAAATGTTTTCGGCAATGTTGCTTACTGAAAAATTACAAATTTTATTTGCTTTTCCAATTGCCAAAATGTGGTCTGTGTATTGTATTTTTACTTTCGAGTCATTTTACCTCTTTAGGCTGGTAATTGTGAATGACTCATCATCATATAACATTTTTGGGATTACTTATTACCATTATAACTGTGCTGGTCACTTCAGAAAACTTGTGAGTTATGTGAGATTATGTACAACGATGAGCTGTATAAACTTTCCTTGAGAATTTTTGCTTCATATTTTAAACAACTACAACATCTATGGTCCTTCTGAGCATTTTTTTGGTGCTAGGAACCAAGAAGTAATGAAAATATCTGTTGAAAGATGGTGCTTTTTCTTTCATTGTATATATATACAGCTTTGTGCAGCAGTAGCGGAGTAAGTTCCCTTTCACTTTCAGAAGTTTGAGCTCAAAGTCAAAGTCAAATATTTGCAAATCATTTTTCTCACCTTTCTGTAGAAGTAGAATAATATTTTCTTTCAGCACAGAGTCTGAACTGCCACATCTGGTGCATGCAAGAGACCCTAGTGGGGAGAATTTTTATAGAGTATCTGTCTTTCTGCTAAGATGTTGTATCCCTCTCAGTCCAAGTGGGCTCTGATAAACAGGGTCAACGCCCACCTCTTAAATGATCTAAATTGTGTTGTTAACGGTAACAGCATAAAAACACCTACATTAAAAACAAACAAAAACCAGAGTTCGTACAGGGGTCCACTTTTAAATTTGCAATGGTTCACAGACATACTATACTTATACACTGTGATTACCGTGTCTAATAATAAGATGCAATATTCAACATCAACACACAAGAGGGGAGACAGGGTTATAAAGTGTCTTTTTGACTTCTTACTTGTACTTTTTCTAACATTTTGCATGTGATGTAAATAAGTTTTGTATTGAAATGCTACATATCATTGAAGTATTCGTGACAGGGAACTTGTAACAATTGTAACATTCCTTCAGAATTAATGTTTACGAGTTTTTTCTCTGTATCTCTAAAGCTGACTTTTACCTTTATCATTTTATGATGTCTCTCTTTAAAATTTTATTGTCATGTGATTTGAATTTACAAGAAGACAGGCTTATATTTAAAGAATGTTTGCCATTGTCTTTTAAAATTTTAAATAGTGTGGGTTATTCTGAATTTTAAGTCTTCTGAAACTGTTCTACATAAGTCAGAGTTTGGTACTGAGCTGTCAAATCTTGTTGTGCCGCCTCCCCGTTGTACCGCCAGCCCCGCTTACAAGTTACTGCCAGATTTTGCCAATATACAAAAAGGGTCCCCTAAACATAGTATTTGCGCCTTTACACCACCGTCCCCCTACTGTCTCAGTTGTAGAGTCCTTATAAGGCTACTCTGTAAATCTACCCCACTGTACCGCCAATGAACTGGCCGCCAGAAGTACACAGTACACACTAGTGTAGACTGTATAATCAAAGTTCCTGGATAAAGCACAATATCTCATTACATAGCGGGAGAATATGGTCTCTGTGTTGTAATGGTTAGGTTGTTGGGCTGACAACCAAAAGTTTATGGGTTTGAACCCATCATTGACCTGTCATGTCTTTGAGAAAGTCATTTCACTCCAATTTTCCTCACTTTACCCAAGTGGGAATGGATACCAGACTGGCTATAGACAGTGAAAGATCTGGTCAGTCTGTTGGTATTTGAGCATGTAATTGGCTGATTGAGCTTGCACTGTATGAATGTGCTTCCTTTTCCAAGTGTTCTAGGGTCTGCTGGGGTCATTTTGCTCTTTGCCAGAGAGTGTGAGCTCTTGTACTGGGTTTTGTTTATTTTATTTTTTTAGCCCAAGCAGAATAACAAACAACTTGACAAGAGAGGAGGGATGCACCACATTGAAATTATAGGCTATTCTCATTGTTCACAGTTTTGGAATTGTCAAAAAATAAAATTTTCAGGCAATTTTTGGCATTGAAGTTTGCTGTGAGAGTTTCATTTATGGACAAAACATATAATTCGACAGTTTGCCCATTTGAGCAACAGTAGGAAATAGGCAGAATGTTAACTTAATCTTGGAGAAATGGTGAAACTGTATACGTTCAAAGCCCTTATCAACACTATTAGGTTATTTAAGAGGCAGGACCTTCGAGTTTAACATAAATTCTGAAAGGATAGAGCCAAATGGAAAATTCATGGTAGGTACCTTTCCCAAGAACATAACATCAGACCAAGCTGAGGCTCAAACCCTTGAACCGGCAATCTCACGATTATGGGTCCGCTAGCTTCGCTACAAGGCAACCAACGCCACCTCTTAATCTTGGCATAATTCCAGAAAAAAACCAGCAGTTTAAAACAATACATGATACACATAGGTATTTTAAACCACACCTCTCAACCTCAGAGCTTTCTTGTCGTATCTCCATTTTTCAACAGTGAAAATGTAAATTTTTCTAAAGTTCACTCTTTCTTATAAACTGTTTTCACTGTAATCAAAAATTGGGATATGACAAGAAAGCACTGAGGTCGCGACCTTACAAAGAAAAAGAACTTACAGTATGAATTCTGGGATTCAAAGTTCAAAGTGTACATAGTATAGTACAATTACAATGGGCCAGAACGGGAGCTCTGGACAAAGTTGACATTTTTTTCATTTATTTAATATCTAAATTAAAGGGATTCTAATATAGATCTAATCATAGGCTAAAAGAAAAAACAGACGTGGCAGACAATTTAGAAAAATAAAAACTCACAGCGCTGACATGTTTTTTCAGTAATCTCCCTAAAGATCAGTCACTTAAACCTGTGCCCACCATTTGGAGTATACTTGCCACAAAATCCTCAATTAAAACCATTATCAAGCACAAAGTTGGCCACAAATAAATCACAACAGAATTCTCATTCAGACCCCTCGTCATCATAATTTTCGTCTAGACAACTGGAAATCAAGCAACTCCTTATCTTTTTCCAAACCAATAAATAAAAGTTTGCAAAATTGAACTCACTCAATTATATAGCTGAGTGAGAAATCCTTCCATGATACAAACTAAAATTTAGGAATAACTTAAAAAGAATAGACATCTCACCCAAAGCCTGAGAACAAGTCATCTGTTTCAGTTACAGTCATACTACATTGTACTTAACAGAATCACTGTACAAAGTTTCTTGTAAAATTGGCATACAACAGAAACCCTTGAATTTTGTTTCCTTTTCTATCCTAAACAAATATCCTCTTAAAAGTTAAAAAACCTAATAGTGCTGATAGGGACATTAAACTTAAACCATTTCACCACCTAAACAGAGACTCTTAAGGACGCAAATTACCATAACTGAAACTGGCATCATAATATAAAGCTACCTGTAGTTCATGTTTATATGCATGTCTGAGTAATGATCTAAAATATTGTTCGTCGAGTTCTAAACAGTACAACATTTGGCAAATTTTTAAAAACCTGGATTAATATTCTTTTCTTTCAAATGAGCCAGACACGATTTTTATAATTGTCTGAATACATTTTATTTACAAAGTCACAAATTTACACACATACACTTCCATTTAATATTCATTATTGTCCAGTAATCACACAGCATACATATTGCACAAAGAGTGTTCATTTCAAGCAAAGCAAATTCTTCTCTAGTAAACTTGGATAACGAACAAGTCCTGCTAAAATAGGAAGTGAAATTCCAGCCAAAAACTTTCAGAGCATCATTACGTAAGTGTAAGAAAAGGCTGCTCTGCTCGTCAGTAGATCATATTACCCATGTGTGGAATCAGTAAAATTGGAAATATGAAGTCATCCAAATGTCTTAGAAATGTTGCGTCACTGTGTAGTCTGAGTAAATATATATACAAACAATAAACTCTGAGATGGCCATTTTGTATTATATAGTATTTCCCTGAAATACATTTCCATATATATGAATATGAGAAACAGAGCACTTAAACAGCAAACACATAATTACTATTAAAAAATTACACTCTGTAGTTTCTCTCCAGAATTTATACCACAATGGATTAACCTTCACTGTCACAAATAAAAAGCAAATTATTTTCTAAATAAGTTCATTTTAAATTTACAGACAACTAAATGTTCATGCTCTCTCTCACAATTTCCATGCAGAATGCATAGCAAATCAATAGAGATGGATTTCATCTATTTAGAAATTCTGTAGGACCAAGTGAAAATAAATTTAATTTATGCCGATACCCGAGATCCACATGTGGCAAAGTGGATGTGATTCTGAATATATAGAGGTTGTGCATTCATTTCCTCTTCATAATCAGGACACACAATCTTTGGGACAGACAATCTTTCACATTAATTTTTTTTTAAAGAGAAGAGCCTCTTTGGATAATACAGTAAACATCAACTTCTGACAAAAGACAACATGAGCAGTGGCAAGTGAAAACTGCAACAGCATGATTACTGCCTGGCCAAAAAATAGTGTGACAAAGACAGTGAACCTGGTAGAATTGGAACTAAAGAGTAAATTTTGATAGCTTTGCCATATTTTTTTCTTCACTTTTTTTTAAAGTGCTTGTTCTGTACAGAAAAAACAAGTGGAAGGAAGAGTTAACATTACATTTACAATGGAGGTAAGCTTTGACTGTACCAACATCGACGGTGCATTTTATCTGGGTGTGAATTCAGTCTCACAGGAGCAACGCAGAGTCAAGCTGTCTCAAAATAGTATTTTGAAAATATTTCATCAGCTCTGTACCACTCAATCATTTGTGAGGTACTAGGGACCTCCTATCCACTGGGAAAAAAATCCTTGAGCACACCACATCAAACCAATAACAGGACAAGCACTACTGCCATTTTCAGATCAGCTAAAGAATGCATCGAACAACAATGGAAGTCCAGGAGGTGTTTTCTCGTTAAAGAAGGCAAAAAATACTTAATTTCACACTGCTGGCAAGGTTACAACTGTTAGGAACTTTGGCCAGTTTTTACAAACGGAAGATTTCTCAAGTGCTGTAAAATATCCAGTCCACTGCTCCATGGCACAACAGAGGCCTCAAGCTTTGACCTTGGCACTGGCTTATTCTTCTCTGCCATTTTCTCTATCACTTTGTGAAGCTTGAAGCCAACTCGTGGCATTAAGAAGTCCTGTGGCCTTAGGGCCAGACCTGGACATAAATCATTAAATCCATCGCCAACATAAATGACGTGATGATATGTGACACCATGCTGCTGTCTTTCAGAGATGAACTCATTCAGTATATGCCCTTTACACAAATTGACAGTACTGAGGGGACACCAGTCTTGGGTGTGGTACTGTTCTATGATCAAGCAGCCATTGTCCTCAAATCTAGCAGGGTTTGTAAATGTCCGGAACAATGAAGACAACTGATTCTTTTTGAGAATATGGTCAATGAATACAGAGTTGGAGTCAGAGATAATAATGTGTTCGAACGATGTGCTTTTCCGTGTGAAGTGTAAGAGTTCTTGAATGCCCTCTGTCAAGCTAATTTCAGACATGCAGTTCAGAATGTTTTCTGGAGTACTCCCATTTCTGTGAAGATATCTGAGGATTGCAAAGATGATTTAGATCTAGAATCTAGTGTTTTACCAACATAACACACACTGGATAAGGGATTTGCAAAAACTTTAAATAGACCTATATTTAGCCACAATGAACATATCAAAACTATTTTACGGAAACATTTTTGTGACCTTTCATGTCCTTTCCCAACAGCTTTGCGGGTTACAATTGACAATTACAGTTGACTTTGTTTAATATGAACCTGTTTAAAACAAAATTCCTGTTAACACAAAAGGATTTCAAATCCCCACTTTTCCCCCTCTTTGTTTTATGCATTGCAGATTCTTAACACGATCAAAATTTCTAACAAATCTGATAAACACAATGGAATTTTGGGTTGTTTCATCGTTCCTCCCACCTAACTATCCCCCTTCCTTTTTTGCTCACAATAGACTATCCTTGTCAATAAATGTACATGTCACCCAACATGCATTCAATACGGTAAAACGTCTCATCAAATTTCTTGTACCCTATACTTATTCAGAAGGTGGTGAGAGAATGGTTTTGTTTTGCGGGACCAGGAGACGAGACATCGGGAAGCTGCCATCCCTTATCTAATCAGAACCTCTCTTTTTAGATTATCAATTTATCTTTATTGCAGCTATGACTTATAATAAATTCAGTGTTTCATAATTTGTATTTGTTTTTAAACTGAGTGGTAGCACAGAATACCACCAAGCAAACAGCTGCAACCTCCCTTGAAACTCAATCTGTGCAGTCAAGGCATCCATCTGAGGTTGACAAAATTTTCCTTTTTTTTAACTGCAAAAGGTTGGCAGCTCTGCATGTGTAATTAAATACTAAAAATAGGTCTAGCATCTGATCAGAAAAGTAAGAAAAGAGTCATCATCATCATCATTGCCTTTCTCACCCTGGGTCAGGATATAGGCCACGAACACTCTCCACCTTTCCCTATCCTGGGCTAGTCGCTTGATGTCACTCCACGTCTTCCCACTTTTCTGTACATCCATTTCTGTGACTCTTCTCCAGGTTCCACGAGGTCTTCTCCTTGATCTTTTACCCTATGGGTTCCAATCTAACACTTTTCTTGTTATGTAGCTGCTTGACTTCCTGAGAGTGTGTCCAATCCATTGCCAACGTCTTCTTCCCACCTCATCTCTGACCGGGCTCTGTCTGGTTCTTCTTAATACTTCCTCGTTGGTGATCCTGTCTGTCCATTTGATCCCCAGCAGCCTCCTCAGACACTTGTTCAAGAAAACCTGGATCCTCTTTATGCACCTATGGGATGCGTTCCACGTCTCACATCCATACAACTAGACTGACTTCACATTTGACTTGAAAATTCTAAGCTTTGTATGTAATGAGATATCCCTGGTCCTCCAAATCCTGCTCAAAGAAATAAATGCAGCCTGTGCCTTTCCAAAGCGGGACTTTATTTCAGCGCCTGTACCTCCCTGTCTGTCAATTATACTCCCAAGATAGCAGAAGGATTCGACGTCTTCTATTGCATTTCCTTGTACTGTGACCTGCTCCTTTCGCGGTGCATCTATCCTTAGGACTTTCGACTTTCCGGGGTGGATCCTCAATCCAACAGACTCTGATAGGCTGTTAAAAATTGTTGTCTTTGCTTGCATCTGTTCCTGATGTGTGCCAGAAGCGCCAAGTCATCTGCAAAGTCCAGATCGTCCAAATATGTCCATGGGGTCCACTGTACACCGTTTCTGTGTCCTCTGGTGATTTCCTTCATCAGCCAGTTGACTGCCAATATGAAGAGGAACGGTGATAATAAACATCCCTGTCTCACACCAGTCTTGATGTCAAAGTTGTCAGTGAGCTGGCCATCATGTACAACCCTGCAACTGGTCTCTTTGTACAAGCTCTCGATGAGAGTCACCAACTTCTGTGGGATTCCGTGGTGTCTCAGTATCTTCCATAGGGTTGCTCGGTCTATACTGTCAAAAGCCTTCTCATAGTCAAGGAAGTTAACGATCAGCTGGGAGTTCCACTCCAGGGACTGTTCCACAATAATCCCCAGCGTGGCAATCTGGTCAGTGGTTGAGCGATTTTTCCGGAAACCAGCCTGTTCATCCCGTAGTCTTGGATCCGTTGCTGTCTTGATTCTCTCCAGAATGATTCTGTTGAAGACCTTACCTGGTATTGAGAGAAGAGTGACCCCTCTGTAGTTGCTGTAGTTGCTGAGATCCCCCTTTTTGGAAGCTTCACAAGGTGTACTTCTTTCCAATCTTTTGGGAACTTGTTCTCATTCCAGATCCTGGTAAACAGTTGGAGGAGGATGACTGACGTCACATTGGCATCTGCTTTTAGGGCTTCAGGTGGAATCTGGTCAGGACCGGCTGCTTTACTTTGTTCAGCTTCTTAATGGCATCCAGAATCTCTTGTTTTGAAGGAGCATCACAGCAGATTGGTAACTCATTTTTTGCTGGCAGGATGTTTGGTGGGTTACTCGGTGGTGGTCTGTTCAGGAGACTGTTGAAATGCTCTACCCATCGTTTGGACTGGGCTTCCTTTCCAAGAATTGTTTTCCCCTCTTGATCCTTTACTGGTACTTCAGGTTTCCCGTATTTTCCAGGAAGTGTCCTCGTGGTCTGGTAAAGGATTCGCATGTGCCCTCCTACCGCTGCTTCCTCTGCCTTCTCCGCCAGCCTATTCATGAATTCTTCCTTGTCTTTTCTTAGTGATTTCTTGACATCTTTAGCTGTTGTCCTGTACTTCTCATATGCATCTGCTCTTGATCCTCTTGTTCTACTTGCATTCGCTTCTGCCTTCAGCTGTCTTCTTATCCTAATTAAATCCAATGAGTGTTGGCTAATCCATTTCTTGTGCTCCCATTTCTTCACACCAAGTACTTCTTGACAGGTTGATGTAAAGACTTCTTTGACCTTGTTCCAGTGTGTATCCACCTCCCTGTCTTCCTCACCAAGATCTGCCAAGGGTTGGTGTTCTGGTTCCATGCTTTTTCAGACGAAGCTTGAGTTTTGCTAACAGCAGATGATGATCTGATCCAACGTCTGCCCCTCTGTACTTTGACATCTTCCAGTGAACGCCTGAACCTACGAGAGATACTAAAATTATCGATCTGATTCTCTGTCCCTCCATCCAGTGATACCCAAGTAGCCTTGTGGATCCTCTTATGGGGAAAAACAGAGCCTCCGATGACAAGACTGTTGAAAGCACAGAGGTTTGCAAATCGCTCACAGTTCTCATTCATTTGTCCCAGGCCATGTTGTCCCATGATTCCCTTGTAACCTACGTTGTCCTGACCAATCTTGGCATTAGCATCTCCAATTATGATGTTGACATCTTTCTTTGGCAGTTTGTCGATGACCCCCTGGAGCCGGCAGTAAAAAGCATCCTTGTCATCATCCGAAGCATCGTTTGTTGGGGCGTAGATCTGTACAACGTTCATGTTGATGCTCTTACTTCTGGTAGTGAACGAAGCCATGATGATCCTCTCCCCGTGTGGTTCCCATCCTCTAAGTGACTTCTGCCCATACTTACTCAAAATAATTCTAACTCCCTCCGCATGGTGCTTGTCTTCCCTCCCAGAATATAATATTTGTTCCCCCGAGCTGAGCTGCTTCTGTCCAGACTGTATCCAGTGGGTTTCGCTGACTCCTAGTATGTGCAGCCTGTATCTTTTCATCTCTTGTGTCACTTGAGAACTCTTTCCTGCTTCATACATAGTGTGAACATTCCACGACGCAATCCGGAGAGACTTGTTCGACAGAGAAGGTTTTGGGTCAGAAGAGTCCTTTCGGCTATGTCCGCTGTCCTTCATTGTTCCTGCTGATGCAGAAGCTCCTCCGTCTCCCAAGATGGAAAAATTATAAGGCATGTTTGTTCGTGTCTCCATAACTTTTCTTTTTTACTGGGTCAGGTAGTTGGACCTCCGCAAACTATCATTTTTCGGGAGACCAGACCTATGCACCTTTAGTCGCCTCTTACGACACGCAGTATCACGGCAAGTGTATTCTTTACTCCCCCATAGTAAAACTATGGGGCCCCCCACCTGCGGGGGCAAAGAAAAGAGTAGCATCTCCTTTTTTTGTTCTTTTCATACAAACCTTGCTTAACACAACATATCTAGAACACAAAGAAATTCTCTGGTGTGGAGATGTTTTAAGTTATAAAACTTTACTACTCACGTTATTCCAGTATTAATTTTTTAAAACCATGTATATAGCAACATTTAGTTCAGCCTTGACTTGTGCACATAGGCACTTGGAGAAGCCTTCAAAGTATTCACCCTGTGTGCCAGCTACACCAAACACAATGTGTTCAAACACAAGCTTTAAAGTTGCAATGATTTTTCAAAATATTAAACAAACTATAAAAGAAATCCAACAGCAAATGACAAACCTCAAACACTAGCAATTAAAACAGTCAAGCATGATCTGTCAAAATCTCACAACGTTGGTGCTTTCAAACTGTGAATCATATTTTGTGTGCGACTCATTATGGCTCCTATTTGTGACAATAATGGGTCATTATTTTTAACTGTAACATGTAAAACATTTAGTAAATAAATAAAGGTCGCATTTTTGTCTTTGAAAAAAGAATTGGAAGTCAGATGTACGTTAAATTAATGATTACATGACACAGACTGTTTGGTGTTCCCATAAGGAATTTTCCCCCCATTTTCAAATCATCTGAAGATCTGAAATGATTGAGAATATAGAAAGAGCAAAGCATGGAACACTTACTTGAAAATTTCACCCATATAATTCGTCCAACCATCATCTTGATACAAACTGGATATTTCTTCTGGTAGTTCCCCATTTGGTGCCAATTTTCTTACATATAAATCACTGTTTTCATCTACAAGGGTGTGGTCGAAGTCAAATACCATCAGCACTTTCTGAGCTACAACACTGCGTTCATTTTCTTCGGCCATCCTGACAAAAGATAAGAAAAATATATATATCTTTATTAAATGAACACATTCAATATTTTTGGGCTCACGTCAGTGACAAGAAAACTAAGGAAAAATTTGAAAGAAAACTTTTATGACTGAATGAGATTTCCAAATTTTGAAACTTCAAACACTACTCATATATGTATATATATATGTAGATGTAATAAACAATATCACAAGATAGATATAGACCATAGAGCACCCTCAAGCAGCTCCTTTACAATAAACTCCAGCAAGTCTAGCTTTCCAACAAACCTAAGCTTCCAAAATAGCAGCAATGAGCCTTAATTTTTTATGTGGCAAACAGAACCATTGAAACTCTGAGGACGGAGGTATGGGTGACACAATCATTTTTATAAATAAATTTATAAACCTATTCTCTAGCATTTTGGAACCAGTCGTGCACAGATATCTCCAACATGTCCGAGGTTGACAAATGGGTTCGACACATCCACAATTCAAGTAAAGTGCGATAATGAATGGTATAATTGTCGGAAAAATAAATCGCTACCATCGTGTTTGTTTGTTTGAGTAAAGAGAAGCACACCGACACAATAATGGTCATTTGGTACTGGGAAAAGTAAGACAGACAGAAACAACAGAGGGAAAATAAAGAAGTAGGACCTACCAATGGCCCTCTCTACCATCATAAAAAGTACCTGTTATCAAAAAGGATAGAAGAAGGATGGATCATTAAGGAAAATAGTGCTGCTGATCAGTGATACAAAGAAAATATAGTAGCTCAGTCAGGGAATGGCAAATTGTTCCAGCTATCCATGAATTCAAGTTCAGTGTGTTCAAGTTATCTGTGCTTGACTACAATTAAAATGGAGTCCGCTTAAACAGAATATGGTTAATCTGAAAAGAGCAGTAAACCGAAAAAAAATAAATCCCCGAATTTTTTTCTGTTTGACCTTGTCAGAACAGTTGTTGTTGTTATTGATCCAGCAACAGCTGGGCTCTCACCGTCCTGTCCAATGCCATGTAGTGCGACCTTGTCAGAAAACTATTAATTAGCTAAAATGCTCCCCTTTCTAAACCGAAAAGAGTTTCAATGGTTTTGTCGTCTCAACCCTCAGAAAACGCAAATCACAAAGTCATAGTACACACTTCAAGATGGCAAAACAGGAGAAAGAGACATGAAAATGCATTTGTATTGAATGCAGACCAGAGGCATCGCCAGAGTGCTGTACTGTTTGCCTACGTGTATCACATACATCAGTAGGCCTACATACTAATTTTTTTTTTTTTTTTTTTTTTTTTTGAAGTGACGCAAAGATGGAGGTATGTTGGGAGAACTTCGGTTGGTCATGCATAGACTATTGTCTGGAATAGCAGGTTACATATATAAATATACATATATATATATATATATATATATATAAATATATATATATATATATATATATATATATAGGCCCTTAACATGAGCACAGTGCTTTTCATGACATCATTGGCATTGATGAGCTTTCTTACTCACTCCTCTTCTCCTCTTCTCTACTTTTCCGTCTGTGTTCTGTGTGATTGTTTGGCAGAAGCAAGCCAACAATATCGATAAGAAAACATATTGAGCACAGCCTGCAGCTCAAAGACAAGAGTTACTGAAAGGGAAGATGAAAAAAACTTTCATACATGAAATTTGCCGCAAGCATGACACTCTCATCCATACATTGTCGAAAATCATCGCAATATGTGCAACAACCTAAAAATTACTGAAAATCTGACGTTCTCTCAGATTTTGGTTTAAGTGGACTTCATGTACAGTCCATGCTGGCTTTAACACTTTGCCGTCACATCTCGCCGATCAACAAGCAGGCCAAACTTCCTCTCGCGTCATAAAACGCTGATCGGTGATGTTTACCGCCCAGTTTCTTTGGATTTCCCCCAAATGCCAGTGATGGCAAGGGTTTTTACTTATGAGCCTTGTGATGGCAAAGTGTTAAGCACGGTCATAGGGAGAAAGCATAAGCATGCTTAACTCTGAGGCGTGCTTAGTGCAAAGTAGACATAATCCAGAGATTTTCATGTAGAAAATTTCCTGAGTTATTTCCCTCTGTTTGTAATTTTATTAAGTTGTGGTCGCGCAAAAGTGTGCGCTGTCCTTTTTGCCCGTCATGGTAGTTTTTGTCTGCTTGTTTGTTTTGTGGTCGAATGGGAAAGGGGCAAATATGAAATCGCAGCCAGCCCCACTTTCTCCTCTCCCCGACTCTCTTTGTATTTTTTTCGTAAGTGGGTGACTTTGCCCTGGGCAAGATCCTATGTCCATGTAGGCAGCTGTGTGCATCTCTCTGCCTTCCTCTCCGGAAGTGAGTGCGTGTGTGTCTCCATCACTTGCGTTCTTTGTGTTTCTCTTTGCTGCAGTGTAGACTGTGTTCGAACTTCGATGGGTCATCATGAAAGAATTGACTGTTTTGTAAATGAAGCGTGCCCAAAGCCAAAGTTACCGTACTTAAAGGCGTGTTATTTCATGTAGCAAAAATTCTGTAAGAGCCATTTAGTGTGCTTGGGTCTGAAACGTCAACGTGCTTTATGCCACCGTGTTTAAAGCTGGCACGGACTGTACTTTACTCCAATCTGCCAGGATGACATGCTTCATGGCATTCGCATTTACCTCCTTTCACCAGAACAATACAAAGTGAGTTGTTTTTATTTATATTCTTATTATTTTCAGCACAAGGACTTGTCTACACTACTCCTGTGGAAGGGTTCCAGATGCTGGTTTAGTTTTTATGTTCTGATCTTTCTTGGTCAAGCTAACTAATACCTGTCGCCTCCCGCACTTGAGAGCTGGCCCGCCCGTTAGTGATTTTACTCGCCTTGCGCGCTCAGCGGAGTGAGAGAAGGAGGCGAGTTTTGTCGCCAGGAGTGCTCAGTGACAGGGGCCTTATGATGCCCGAAACGAAAAAAACGGGTGAGAATAGTAGGCTGTTGTTATTCTCACCCGGGGTGAGAATAATATCCAGTTTAAAATCCTCACTCCGTTTGCCTTTAAACTTTAACTCATTCGCTACGCCGAGCCATGGGGGGCAGCGCGGCTAAAGTTCCGTCAGTACACTAAGCCGCCCCCGGCGGCTCAACAACCGATCTTCAATTTAAGCTTAGATTCTATTCCAATCCACAAATCCATGTGAAAATAAAGGTCAAAATATAATGTTGACTTCCGGGTCAAGCACTTCCACTGAAAATTGGAAATTTAGATTCAGTTTTGAAACCTGATTTCGTAGTTTGTTCGACTTTGTTTTATCGCGATGCCAAAATTATAATAGCCCGGACACCAGTCTTAGTAATTTTACACAACAAAATCTATCATTATTTTGCCCACTAAAGAAATGTAGGACTCTTTTTTTATAATATTGATACGATTGGACTCACATTGCCAATGCACTGTTATTGAGAAATCAATATTTTTGAGTGCTAGATCTAGATCTAGGTCTAGATCTAAATTGTCAAAAAAAAATTTCTCCCCAAAATCACTACTTTTTGATGAAATTACACAAAAAGTGCCACTCAAGACATGTATAGGTTTATTCCAAATGTAATTCTAAATAATTCCATATAAGATACGAGTGGGGTTTTCTCTGTTTGTGATCGTTTTTCAAGAATATAAATTTTTTTCTCAATATAATATGTTATGATCCAAATGTACAAATATTATAGAATGAACGTAAATAACTGCAAATTTTTCAATTTTTTCCAGTTCTAGATTCTTATTAATTTATGATTATTTTGATGTATCATTTGACTAGATTTCTCTAGATCTAGAATCTAGGTGCAAACATATTTATTGAGTTTCTTCACCAAAGATTATTAATTTTTTATTTTCAAATTTTATCCGCATCCAATCAAAATTGTGTTGCATAATCGTCTCTTACAGGAACCAAAGTTGAAAAATACATAAATAAACTAAAAACATTACAGATGTATTCTACAAACCATACTGAAAATATTGGTATATAATACGTTGATATTATTTGAATTTGTGGCCCCAAAGACTTTTTAACTGCTCGCTAGTCATCATCTCATTCGCCCTCCCGAAAAAAATTCGTCCACAAGCCGAAAATAATACGTAGCGCATGATGAGTTAACTTCAACTTGGAAATGGAAATCCTGCCGCTTGCCACCAATGGAACACTTCTTCTGACAATATGAGACTGGTTCTCTTTCACCATTCAGCTGATTCGATGGAATCTTATTCTTTGCTTCTACTAGATATCTAGTCTAGTCTTAGTATAGATCTAGAGTGAAGACTATTACTTAACTCTTAGGATCTACTGTTACTGTCACTGTCAGTACTGTCACGATCCCGATGCACTTGCCGTTGCCTCTACTCAACTGTTCATCAATTCAGACCATGATTATGAACCAGCCGCAATCCCCCGTCGGCTTCTCTTTTATTAGATCTCGTCTAGAATCTAATTCTTTTTGTTGTTTTTCTTTGGATGAAATACGTGGTAGACCTAGGCCCTACTCACCTACTGTCAGTTTGATTACAGTTTGTTTACACTTGACGGACACTGTTCCCCCAGGCCGGCCAGGCACAGAGGCAGCAATGGTAAAATAAAAACAACTCAATGTTTACTTCATTTTCGTTTCGCTTTTATTTGACATTCAGAATTTTATAAAGGCAAAGGAGGAAACGACGTCATTGGTTACATTCGATTGTTTGCCTGGTAACAGCTTCCTCGGGGTTCATGATGGCGAACTGAGCATTGCTTCTGCTACGATAAAATTTTGTAATATATTGTAACCTCTGAGTTCATCATGGCCACTGTGATGCATGGAAGGCGCAAAGGGCAACAGAGGGGTAAGATGACAGCTAAAATAAATAAATTTCTATCTATATTTCGGTTGAGTCCTGTAATTTAGTACTCTGGTCTGATAGCAATTATGGCTTGTTGATTGATACGACTCTATTTCACACCACAACAAAACAAAATTCATTTGCTGGCACTGTCCTTTGGCCCGACTTCTAACAGGCATTCAATTGATTCCTTTTATGCTACTGTAGAAAAATTATAGGTGGTTTGACAGCCCGTACAACTTGAAACACTAGATCCATCAATATATTATCATGCCAATGCTTCCTTTACTTTATATCAATCATATTATTTATTATTACATGTCATTCATAGGCCTACTTTATCGCTGCCTTTGCTTTCTAATGTCTGCATTAGGTTTAGATTTATATTTACTATCACATTCTTTTATACTACTGGTGTTCCACGTTAGATTCCTAGGAGTTAAACTCCAATAATTTCCTTTGCCAAATGCCGCGCATCTAATCAATGAGTCTTAAAGCTCGCCATCGATTTACATTGACATTGAGATATATATTTATCTTGTCTGATACATACTTTGATTATATGGCCTCTTCATTCTATTTTTCTCTGAGTGGACAAAATCTGAAGTAATTTTGTTAGTGACTTCTATTTTTTGGTTTCATTATTCATCTCAAGATCTTTATGAATTGCCCAGCCTTTGAGCACCTGCTGAAGCTCGTTCTGTTTTGGAAAGTATAAAACTTGCTTCATTTTCTGGGCCAACTGCACAAATATATACCTCCATTCAAGTCCTAAAATTCGAACTTTTAAAAGGGAGCAGTATGTGTAACACTGCTGTGGAAGTATTGAAGGAGAATACTATATGAATTTCAGAGGATAATGAAGCAAGGATGCGTGCAATCAGACTTCTTTAAAGCATGTTGATATATTTTTTTTAACAGCTATTTCTTGGAAGGAAATTAAATCAATTGAGGTAGTATTTGAAGAAGCCCATATAAAACGATCAGGAAAAGACAAATGCCATTTCTGGGACACATGAATAGACATATATTATAAAGGCCTTCAACATCTACATTTTCATTGACAAAATTAATGGCAAACAAAGCAAGGGTATGTAGACCCAGAGCAACTTAATTGGAGACCCTTAACACTTTGCCATCACAAGGCTCGTAATAGTAAGAACCCCTGACATCAAAGGCAAAGGCATTTTGAGAAAAATCCCCCAAAACTGGGTGGTAAACATTGCCGATCTTCGAGATGTGACGGCAAAGTGTTAGCAGATGGGTGGCAGGGAAAGTTCAGGATCATACATTTTTTAGAAAGCATCTGATCAAAGGAACAAATGGAGATTCATGATGGCAGATCAGGCACTTGATGATGATGATGATTTTGAAACAACACTCTAATCAGTGTAGGCCTATTTGTTAAGTAAATGCTAATGCTAGCCTGTGTACTTTGTCATGTTGAATGTTTCAACAAAAATGTAGAAAATGAAGTTTGTAGCTTAATTACTTATTTTACTGGCTGCTGATCATAAATTTGACCCTTAGAACCAATATTTTTCAAATTGCAGTTGACTCTGGAGGCCCTAAAAATGTTGGGAGAGGTACAATGATGCTTCCAGATGGCACAGATTTGCGCCAGGTCACTGTGCTCAGTAAGGCTGATTGGGAGAGGATTGAGCAGGAACTAAATCGAAAACAAATTCAAGATGAGATGGTGCGCAAAATTCGTGAAGACAGAGAGGAACAGAAAAGGAAATCTAAAGAGATTATCAAGAATTGGGGCAACACCATTGCAGTAAGTAAATTAAAATTATTTCTTCTTTAAATGATTACTCTGAGTTGCAATGAATTCTGTTTTTGAATATATGGTTTCATTTGTAATGGTAAATACAATTAAGCTTTAGTAGCTCAAATTTTCTTTATTAAATCTTCTTAACATGTGTTGACCCCATTAAATTTGGAAAAAATTATTGTTCTGAAACCAAAAATTCATTGTATTAATAGACTGAGAGATACACATGCATGTGGTCAGAGGAAAAATTTGTATTCTGCTCTAACATACCAGATACCATTTTGACAAAAGAATTTTTAGGTAAACTTAATCCCAGTTCAGTTTAGTAAAAATGCCACTTTCTAAGACTTTGGAGATTGCTTCTAAACATTCTCAATTTCTTTGATGATATGAATAATAACAGTCAAACCGAAGAAGTTGAGATCTTTAAAAAAAGCGGGGCCACTTTTAAAAGAAAAATATTATGCAATGATAAGAGCCTAGTCATTTAGAATTACATCACAGGTGCATACCTTTATCTGTACGCATTGATGTAGAGGAAATTGAATTAATATAAATTTCTAAACTTGTTGATCTGCACTAAGTTTCAATCAAATTCCACAATGATGTAAATTTTACAAAATGCTGAAAATCTCAGGGCCAAAGGCAGAGGAAACTGGAAGCCCGGAGAGTCAGAGAAGAAAAGGAAGAAGAGGAAAGGAAACAGATTGACCTTGAAGAAGCCAAGTACCAAGCTCAACAACGAAAAGAGGCCATTGAGAAGGCAAAAACACAACAGTATTACCAGACTGACCGAGTCAAGAACTTCCATGTAAGGCCAGTTAACCAGTATAACATAAGCTTTCTTTAGTTTCTTTCTTTTTGATGATTGCATATTTTTATATATTCCAGCCTTAACCCTCATCCTGCGGGAGCCGGGTTTATGTAGCCCGATAAGCCTATTTCGGCACCTCGCCTGCGTTCTGGTCCCGAGTCAGTGTAGCTCCTGGCTCAGCGCACGCGCAGCGCACATCCTCTTACGTGTCATTCGGGTCCCGAGTCGGATCCCCATTCACGCAG